TTAATGACTTATTTGGAACATTTTTACAATTTAATAATATACACATATGTTTGATTGCTACTAATAAGAAATTATTAAAATTAAAATCACTAGGTGATATTTGAAGGTAAAAGAAAATAAAACATCAAATGAGGAATGTCTCAAGTAAAATAATAAAAGGCAAGTTAAAATTACGAATATTTAGTCAGGAATATTAAAAGATAAAGAATAAATAGTCCCTGATAAATTTGAAATTAAAAATTGTTAAATTAATAAGCAAACCCGGCATCGCTTATACTGTGGAATATTTTTTGTACGGAATTTATGTATGCTGACGACCTCAAATCCATTCCCAAACAATATTTCTCTGCCGTATCCTTAAGGGCCTGCAATAAAAACAATAGTTCCAATTTTTTTTTATAAAGACGGCACATTAGAATGCCACTTTTTGGTAAAAAATAGGTTAGGTTTGTCCTCCGTTACCAAAACAAATTGTAATAGCAGTGGTAGAAGGCAGCTTTAAGTAGAGTTGATTTAGTGTTGGCAATCCGATTAATTACATTATTAACATATGTATTTTTTTGCCTACCGTCTTATTTGAACCTCAGATAATATCGTAATTAAGTATACAGATAAGTAAACCTTAGTCAATCCGTACAAGGCTTACACATTCCGCTTACCTCACGTGATAACGGAATAATTACGGTATTAAAATAATACTAAGCAAATGTACCTACAGATACTATATCTTACATTTAAAAGTTTAAATATTGTGAATCAAATATTTCACTTATACAGGGTGTTTTGGAAAAAGGTACCATAAATTCAGGAGCTGATGGGTCATCAAACGGTAAGATTTTTTCCTTCATTTTGAGATTTGAGATCAAATATGATATTTTTAAAAGACCCCCTTTTGGAAAGTGGCTTTCGACTAATTTTTTTTTAACTTTGCTATGTGATTGTAAAAGTTTCAAAGTCTGAAAGTCCTTTGTTTTGGACCTACGGCCCCTGAAAATTGAATTTTTTTCTTTTACGCTGCATAGTAAGAATACAGCAGATCCTTTTTTGTAAAATTACATTACATTGAACCTTGCCCGATTGATTAGAGATGTTTTCAACTTCTGGTTCTGACCAGAAGTAGTCTTTCACGGGAATCGGCATGAGATCAAGTTCAAAGGTCATTTAGGGCTCAAAAAACGCATTTTAGAAAAATTATTTTAAACAAAAGTTTAACAGTCTTCGATGCTGAATCGAAATCCGCAATAAAAAAATATATTTTATTTAAGAAAACTGACTTCCGGTCCGAATAGGCTACTTCTGGTCGGAACCGGAAGTTGAAAACACCTCTAATCGACCGATATTATGAATGTAATGTAATTTTATAAAAAATAATCAATGCTTTATTCTTACTATGTGTAGTAAGGGGATTCAATTTTCAGGAGCCACACTATTGGTCAAACGGCATTCTTTTATGTCAAAATTAAAGCTTATTTAATGCAGATTTAGGGAAAATTATTGCGAATGTCATCTTCCCCTATTTTGGGGGTGGAAATGAAGGGTGAATAGGTGAAAAAAGTGAAAATCGATTTTCTTCATTAAAAAATCTTATATCTTTGATAAATACATTGAAATTAAGACACATTTTGGAGTAATCAATGCTCAATTGAAACAAGTTAAGGAAAAATTAATGAAAATATTTTCATCCCTATTTTAGGGGTGGAAGTGAGGGGTGAGGGTGTGGAAAAATTAAAATTAAAGAAAATATGCATGAAAGGTTTTTGTTGTCGCTGAACACGTATAAAAGCATCATTAAAACAAAAAACTCTTGTTTAGGAGCTGTTTTTATCATCCCCTGATTTAGAGGAAGAACTGAAGGGTGGGGGATTGAGTCTTTCAATTCTCTGATCTTAAATAACATGGTAGACCATTTCCTTATTATCTGTAAATTTCAGGGTGATTTTTCATTATCCCCCGTTTGACCGATAGTGGGCCGTAGACTTTTAATCAATGAGATCAGAACTATCACATAGCAAAGTTTCAAAACAAAAATTAGCCAAAAGCCACTTTCCATAAGGATTATGCGAAATCCTTTTAGCCATATTTTTTTTATAAAAATCAATGTAATGTCTGAGGATATCAGCAATATTAGTTTTTGACCATCCGCTAGAGGTCGCTAGCTTCCACTTTACCCTATGACTTATCACATAGCTTTTCTGAGGTTAGGTTTCTTATGGTATGTTGTATAATATAAAATTTAATTTTAAATAAAAAAGGTATTCTTGCAGAAATTGCAACATTTTTGAGAAATATGCAATTGACTGTTTCAAGGTATCCTATATAACAAACACGGTGTTCGAAAATGAATGAGCCGTATATTAAGGATGACCTCCTTGGATAAAAATGCACCGATTTAGATCAAGTTACCTTAGTACAAACTTGCTGCCTTCAAAATTGTTCGAATAGTTTTCACCCAAAAAAAAAAGTAATAAGATGAATCACATTAGAATACATACAGGGTGTCCCGAAATTAATGCAACAAAATTTGGTCATAGATTAAGACAAATTTAGGGGACCTATATTTTTTATTTTTACCAAGTGACAAAAATATCTCAGAACCCTGTTGTACGAGAATTACTAAATTTGGTACACAGGGGTTTTATGACATGTGGAATTGATAGTGCTAGGTTTTTTGGCAGCCCTTAAGACACTGTTTCATTAGTTCCGTTGTCTTTGAAACCAAAAAAATTTGGTCGTATATTTGAATTTCTTAGTTCCCTAGAAAACCATTGTGTTTAGAAATTTTTTTGTCTCTTGATGTTTTTTTCGTAACACGCAATGTTTTTGAGAAAATGGCGAATCACAATACGCTTTTGATCACATTTTGACATTTGCGTTTTACGAAAAAAGTAACAAGGGACAAAAAAGTTTCTAAATTTAATGGCTTTCTAGTGGACTAATAATTTAAAAGAAATTTAAATATGCGACCAAATTTTTTTTTGCTTCAAACAAGAGGACCCACGAAAAATTGTCTTCAGGGGAATCTCCGCCAAAAAGCGTAGCACTATCAGATTCCACGTCATAAAACCTCCGTGTACCAAACTTAGTGATTCTCGTACAACAGGGTTGTGAGATATAAAAAAAAGACAGATTTCAGGGGGCTGTAACTCCGAAAGAGGGGCCCAGTTGGCAAAAATAAAAAATACGGGTCCCCTAAACTTGTCTTAAGAATCTGTGACCAAATTTTGTTGCATTAATTTCGGGACACCCTGTATATTAATAATTTTTATGAATAATATAATGAAAATACAAACGTATATAAAAATCAACAAATAGATTCTGTTTAAGTATGATGTTTGACTTTATTATCGTGAATTGCAATAGATGCTTTAAGGAAATTGTACTAACTTTTTGTTAATGAGCATAATTATGCTCAAAATTAGGTTTACTACAAATTTGTAGTAAACCTAATTTTGTTTGAAGAGGATGATCGTAAAACTCGATTACTTCAAGTCAAAATGACATTGACAACTCTGGTTTATTTTCATCCAAATAGGCTATCCTTAAAATATGGCCTATTCGTCAATATTGGAACAGTCTTTCTCTAAAAACATTATACTTGAAACTTTACATTACAACCCAAGCACCCACACCCCCACAAACACCCACCGAATTTCAATAGATTACACAGCCACACACAAAAAAATTTTTCTTTTCATGCGATATATGTTATCCATAGTATTTTTGCCTCCTGATCACGAATCCGGTGTCAGAATTGAGCTATCACATCACAGGAATACCCTAACCTCAAAAAACAGGTCAAAATAGCAAAAATTCACGAAAAAGTGCTAGGAAAAATACAAAATTTTTTTTATATTCAAATGCTCATTTATATGGTTAAGACCCCGCCAAACGTGAATCCGTGGTCAGAATTGATAATTCTTTTTCTAACCTAAAAAAACGGGTCCAAAATTCAAAATGGCGGATCCAAGATGGCCGACCAAATTTTCAAAAAATTCACGCTAACTTTAGTATACGGGAGTTTTCGGGATCGCTGATCACGGATCCGAGGTAAATTTTGCAAAATTCAAGATGGCGGATCCAAGATGGCCGAACAGATTTTCAAAAATAATATTCGCGACAAATTTGGATCCGGATTCGTGATCAGTGACCCCGAAAACCCCTGTATGTCAAATTTGGCGCGAATGTGTTATTTTTCGAAAATTTGGTCTACCATCTTGGATCCAAAATTCATCAATTCTGACCGCGGATTCACGTTCGGCGGTGTCTTAACCATATAAAAGAACATTTGAATATTGATTTTTTTTGTATTTTTCCTAGCACTTTAGTGAATTTTTGCTATTTTTGACCTGTTTTTTGAGGTTAGGAAATTCCTGTGAAGTGATAGCTCAATTCTGACACCAGATTCGTGATCACGAGGCAAAAATACTACGGAAAATATAAGTCGCATGAAAAGTACAGATAACTTTTTTTTGTGTGTGGCTGCGTCGTTTTTTTTTTAGAAAAGATATGGCTAAAATTTGATTTTAAAAAATGTTCTTTGGCACCCTGTATAACAAAAATAACTAGGAAAAAATATTGTATCATTGTTTAAATGTGTGGTACTTTTTCCAAAACACCCTGTGTAGAAGGAAACACTTGGAGTAAGTAGGATATGCCACTATTAATTTTCACATTGGTGTTCACTTATTCTTTAGAAACCAAAAGATTTGTTTTAAATCGAAACTAGCCAAAGACAAAGGACCGTGATTTCGGAAACAACCTCTATATAATTTTTTATCTGCAAATATCCTATTCTCGACTCGACATTTTTCTATATTTCTGAATCCATAAACCTAGACATTGTTAATATGCAACATTGCACACGTCCATAAAAGCGTCATATTAGTTCGCAACAGTAAAAACACGAAAATCCCATGCACATCTCACTGCACAATTACAATTTATTTTAGTAAAAAAAAAACAGGCCACAGAAATGTGAGGAAACACTTAATTTCACTTACCTTAGCGCTCCTCTCCATAGTGAAGTTCAGACCAGAATGTACAATGTCTTTTTCCGAAGCACCGGCAATCTTCTTCTGGAAAGGTACCGATGGAACAATTGGGATTCTTCCGACATCGGTAAATTTGCGTTCCAGCGATTCTTGCACGGATTCTACACAAAAAATCAAGCACCTTTATTCCATTCCCACAAATAAAATCACGGATGATGTTAGTGTGTATTATATTTCTGTTATTTATTATTAATTATTACGCTTTTGAATCATTTTTTAAATGAAACATGAAGCTAATTCAGTCTTCCATCAAGACAATTACAACTTCTCGAATTTTTCTAGCCTGATATCTCGTAAACCAGAAATGGACCAATGAAGAGCTGTACTCTCTATATTTCATGTTACTTTTTCCCAAGTCCGATCTCTATCAAAATTAAAATTAAATTTATAGAATTAAAAACTTGACAGATTTTTGTGAATGGTAAATGTCTAATAATTTATCTGTAGTATTTTCAGTCGATCCTTTTATGTGATTGGGTATTTCTGCCACACTAAAGAGAAAACATTTTAAATAATGCATAGGTCAGAAAGTTCTGGGACTAATCCACAGATGGCGTCACAAATAAAAATCCATGTATGTTGATTGTACTAACCCCCAAAAGAAATATGTCAAAGTTTCGTGACATTTCCACTTATCGAGATATTGAAGTTTTAGGGACGCTATTTTTGACATTTTCAAAACAATGTACAAAACCGAATTTCATGTGTTTATTAAACACTGTGTTTCAACAGGCAAAAACATCGTTCAAGCGCAGCATTGGCTTAAAAAGGAATCTGCTTCGTCGAAAATAACCATTTGTCGGTGGTTTGCAGAGTATAAACTGGGCTTATATGGACAACAATGATACTGAACGCTGGAGATATCCAAATGATTGCCTTTTGATAGCTTTAGAATGTAAGCTATCTCCTGCAAATTCATTTTACAGTTTAGTCCAACCAAATTACACTTGGAGAAAAAAAAATTGTTACATGGACTTTTATAAGTGGAAACGGTAAAGGGGCTTATAATAAACGTAATAAAAAATAAATGCGTGAGCAGGGGTGGCGGAGGATTGATTTGGGGGGTTGAAAAGTTGTAAAAAATTATTGTATCATTGGGATTTCTGTCGAAAGTTGACGTCAAACAAAAAAGTATCCAATACAAAAGTTGTAGATCCTGCAAAAATCTACAACTTTTGTAGAGGTCACTTTTTAAGATAACCTTAAAATATTTGAGAAAAGTGTGAAAAACAGATAATTTCTTATTTATTGTTTTTTATTTCTCATTTCTGCAAAAATAATTTAATTTTGACAAAACTTGGTGACAGTATACCTTTCTGTATCTTAAATAACCACAATTTTTTTTAGATAAAAAAATCAAGAAGTTTCCGAGATATTCATTTTTTCCGGTCTGAAAGTTTTTTTTCAAAGAAAAATTCTACTTAAAAAAATCATCGTACAGTTCTGCCGGTGACCATTTTTTCTGTTTTGACATATACTTTTTGGTGAAATAAAAAAATCTGTAGTTACAGTTCAAAAACAGTTAAAAATGTAAAAAAATAAAAAAGGACTTGCAACAAGGAAATTTTCAGTAACTGTAGATAATTTGTTTAAATTTAAAAAAATCTAAAAACTGATTACACTATTCAATTATACAGAAAAGAATACAAAAAAACTGTCTTATTGTTTGACCCAAAACTTTATTTTTTGTACAAACACACAAATGATAAATTATCTCTGGATGATTTGAGATTTCAGCAATACAAAGTATTAACTGCAAAGTCTACTTAACACGTTGACTGCGAGATAATCTCAATGTACTTTGTCCGTGACTGCGATACATATCTTCGGGGATATGTAACAAAACTTCTTCTGTGTGCGGTACATATCCCTGGGGATATGTGATTTTTTTTACATTTGACCCTATAAAATGAAAAATACCACAATTATTGCTATAAACTTGCATGTATCTGTAACTATATATCCTAGGATACTAACGTTTTTATTCGCAAAGAGTTTTGAAAAGAAAATAATAGAAAAATCATTATTTCTAAAAACTACAGATTCTGCAACTTCCACAAGATACAGTAAAAATGTGATTATTGAGATTCGCATATTTTTTATAATGAGTACATACCCCCCGAGGTATGTACCGCAGTCAACGTGTTAAATTAGAAAAATTACCACCAACTGTTGGAGCAGCTATACAACACTTCTACAGAGCATACTTTCAGCTTTAGAAGTGGCTTGGAAACAAAAACTGCAACCTAATTACTCATATCTCGCTTTACAGAAGCTTCAGTCGTGCCTGAAGATTTATTAAAAACAAATTCTTGCAGCTGCCAAGGTTTTTAGCTTGTTTTAGCTATCATTTAAAATTTTTCCTGAGTACGGGTCTGACGTTTTCAAAATACCTATCTATTGGAGGAAGTCATAACAATATAAACGTCAAAACCGCAGAAAATATTCAATACTTTTTTTTACTATTAAATTCGTATTATTTTTTTATTAGATACAATTTTTTAAATTATTGAGTAAAAAGAATTGTTGGATATTTTGTGCTGTATTGACTTTAATACAGTTATGACTTTCTAAAATAGATGTTTGAAAGTGTTCAGAGTCGTACTCAGGAAAAATATTAAATGATAGTTAAAAACCTTTTTACAATAGTAATATCATCTAATTCAGAATTAAAAATGACTTTAAATTTTGTCATAAAAATAGCACAATATATTTAAAAAAATTAACCTGATGATGGCTTTATTTTAAAATTCGTTTTCAAATAAAGATAGAAAAAAAAATAAAACGATTTTGCAAAATTTCGGGTTTTTCCAGATATCTCTGGAACTACCCGGAATTTAAAAAAATGCTAAATGGTATATTGTTAGATATAAAAAAACACAACATTTTTCTAATTTCATCCTTATCTTGGACACACTGTATATCTATGAATTCATCAAAATTAAAAAAAAAAAATAAGTACACTAATCGGAATAGAGAAAACAATATTATTTATTTTATTTATTCACTATTCGACTTAGATGTTTACAGCAATACTATACAAAAATAAAGTTTTGGGTCAAACAATGAGACTTTTCTTTTTTTATTTTCTTCCGTCCAATTGAATGGTGTAATCTGTTTTTGATTTTTTAAATTTATACAAATTATTAACAATTACTGAAATATTCATTGTTGCAAGTAATTTAAAAATTTTTTTTTGCATGTTTGAGCATGTTTTTGAACTGTGAATACATATTTATTAAAATTTCACCAAAAAGTATATATCAAAACGAAGAAATGATCACCGGCAGAACTGCAAGATGATTTTTCTAAGTAGAATTTTTCTTTGAAAAAAAAAACTCTCAGAACAGAAAAAATGAATATCTCGGAAACTTCTAAATTTTTTTATCTAAAAAAAATTGTGGTTATTTAAGACACATAAAGGTATACTGTCACCAAGTTTCGTCAAAATTAAACTATTTTTGCCGAAATGAGAGAAAAAATGCAGTTTTCACAACTTTTCAACTCCCCATATCAGCCCTCCGCCACCCTACCCATTTATTTTTTTTTCGTTTATTATAAGCCCCATTACCATTTCCAATTATAAAAGTCCAGGTAACAATTTTCTTTTTTTCCCCTTTAAATGAGTTATTTCGATCGGTCTGGTTGTCCAACAAAATTTCGAGGATTTTTTTCATATTTTTTGATGCTGTCATCTCATTTTAACTCAGCAAACCACCAACAAATGGTTGTTTTCAATAGAACAGATTCCTTATAACACTTTTCTACTGAGCTCGAACGGTATTTTTGTCCAGCGAAAAAACAGTGTTTAATCAACACACAAAATTCGATTTTGTCCATTGTTTGGAAAATGTCAAAAGTAGCATCACTAAAATTGTGAAAATATGTCAATATCCAAATTGTGAATGTCCAAATGTCACAAAATGTTGACACGTTTCTTTTGAAGGTTAGTACTATGTAACACACATGTATGTTTGATTTGTGTCGCCATCTGCGGATTACTCCTGGAACTTTTTGACTAATTTGTTACCCCTGTACGATCCCACCTAGATTGTGAAACTGATGATAACCTTGTGTAAAACTGAAAGTATTTTGCGATGATTTATAAACATCGCTAACTTTATTTTATGTTATTTACCTATTAGGATGTGCAACGCCACTTATTGTGCCAGCTATAATTATAAACCGTTAACTTATTCCAAGAAATACTTACGTAAGAGATGGTAGTTAGAGTCCCTCTCATATTTGAAGGTCAGCCTACCATAAGACACATGGTTGATATTCTTCAACCACTCGAAGAACGATACCGTCACACCACCCGCGTTGACGTACAAATCGGGTATTACCAGTACGTTCTTCTTCAAAAGAATCTCGTCCGCGGCGGGTGTGAGTGGTCCATTGGCAGCTTCGCAAATAACCTGACACGAGATCGATCAAATAACGATTTATGAAACCTCTCCATTGCTTTCACTTACCTTCGCTTTGATTTGAGCTGCGTTTTCTTTGTGGATGACCTTCTCGGTGGCCGCGGGAACGAGGATGTCGACTTCGTGGAAAAGGAGGTTGCCCTCGTAGGGCTTAGCACCAGGGAATCCTACGACGGTTCCATTCGCAACGCGATAGTCTTCTAGATCCTAAAAGCAGATCAGATAAGCGATTTTTTTTCCTACGGCCCTACAGAATATTTGCTATGCTATGAACCAGGTATATTAACAGTCACAACTTTTTGTGGTTAGGACTTTGAAGTTCTTAGCAACGTTTAGACAAAAAAAAATTAAAATAAATAAAAAATAAAAATAGCCTGACAGTCCAACAAGTATTGTCTCTAATAATCTTCATCTCCAAAAGTTCAGGCATGAAGTGAATGCTGCGAAAGGCTTAAGAGAATGACTAGTGACAGCCAATATAGAAAACTCTCACCTTGGGATCAATACCTTCTGGATTAAAAATGGACCCATCGTATTCGACCACACCGATACACTTGGCCCCGGCCCGGTGGAAGTACCTCATGGTATGCAGGCCGACGTTACCGAAGCCCTGGATGATGAAGGTCTTGTCTTTCCAGCCGGTTTTCAAGCCGCACATGTCCATATAGTTGCCCTCATTGATAAAGTTCTCCAAGCCGTGGAAGACCCCGCGACCGGTCGCGGAAACGCGGCCGTGAATGCCGCCTTGGTTGATGGGTTTGCCTGTGACGCAGGCATGATTGTTGATGTCTTGGTACCCGATAGTCTTGGCATAGGTATCGGCCAGCCAGGACATCTCCCTTTCGCCCGTGCCCATGTCGGGGGCGGGCACGTCAATGCTGGGCCCTGCAGGGAACAAAGGGAATATTTTTCGTAAAGAAAAATCTCTAGACCGATGTAACATTACTTTATTTTAAAAAAAGGTACCAAGGAATAAGCTAGCTTGAATTCTAAATCAAAATGTAAGAACAGAAATAATTAAAATACATATTTGGGCGGATAAAAATATTACAATAGGGTATTCCTTGGTTCATTTCAAGTCAAGAAAAAATGAACAAACGAACATTGGAATATACTGTAGCCGTAGCTTATATGACCAATGGTATGAACCTATATTCTAACCGGTTTAATTTTTAATTAATTATGTTAAATTTAGGAATATTCCAAATATTTATAGCCACAAGTGCAAATTATTTGCATCAAATTGTAAATAACAAGAATTCACTGAATTTATATACAGTGATTTACAACTTCTAAAAAAATTTGGGAGTAGATGCGTCATGAAAAATGGAATCAATATCGTACAAATTTTTTATAAAATCCTTATACTTTCCGAGAAAAAAATTATTGAAGTTGTAGTATTTACAACCTTTAGCTGGGCTACTGTAGTCTCTAGCGTTATTTGCTCACGTGGCCCCAGGCGATTCCGAATACTGAAATCTGATTTTAGTATTATCGTTGTTGCGATAGTGTTTACACTAGTTTTTCATGTATCAAAAATGGCTTACGTGTATAGCAACGTGAAGTTGATGGATATTGTTTTAATTTATGGTGAAGCAAGACAACTGCTGTGTTAGTTCGTAGAAACTAAGTAAGATGGGCCTAAATGTTTACATGTCGGTGGGTAAAATTTTGAACAGTTGCTATTATTTAATTAATTAAACCACAAATTAATTTCATTAATTAATAATAACAATAGCGGCAAAAGCAGTTGAATTTGCTGATATAAAATAGGTGTTAATTTTATTTATTTCTTTCATTGGAAAAGAAATTCTTCCAATTTTTTGTCCGTTTATTTCTTATTACACTTTGCCACCGTGCCGGTCATCGACTGCATGCTTTGCCTTGCGTTCAAATAAAAAAGATCAGTTTTATTTCATCCGAAATTGTTTGTTATGAATATAATTTAAAAAAAATCATTAAATGTTCATATAAATAATTTACGTAGGAATTTTGAACTTTTTAAGTGGTATTGCTTCTAAATAATTATTGTAAACTTCCTCACCTAATGATTTGTTTGAACTACGCATATTTAAAATTATTTTATGAAACCAGTAGTTGTGGAGTTACTGTTGATTTATTTGTTAATAAAAAAATAATAACTTGAAAATGGCTCAATTTCCAAATAAAATAGAGGATTTTTTAAATAAAATTTTGATTAGAAATTAAAGCTTCATTTAAATTCCCAAAATTCTAAGTGTACTTGAAATTTTGGGATTCTTAGTGGCAGATTTACCAGTATTGCCAAAGGTTGACATAATTATTTAATCAAATAACTAGTCTTAGTTTCAAATGTCTTCAAAAGTATTTGCATGCATGTTATATTATTTAAAAACTTTAATAATCCAATTAAATGGGCCTTTAAATCGCAATTTGGTGAACTTGCCTGAATTTTTGATATAACTTAGTTTGAGGTACCTATATAATATGTAATAACAATAAGTGACAGTGATTTTTTTTCAACCCCCGGCCAGGGGTGAAAAAAGATAAAAATAAAGGTGTTTTTCAAGATAACTCAAAGGGGGTAAGAGCTAGAAAAACAAATTTCTTATAAAAATTGTAGAGCATAAAATTCTACATAAAAATGGTCCATTGACTTTTTCTTGTACTATTAAAATTAACAGAGTTAGGGTGGCTAGAAATTAAGGGATGATTTCAGATACTTAAAAAATCAAATCAAACAGAAAACTGACTGAATTTTATAAATTTTTTGTTCAATCTGCTCTAAAAAATGTAAATTTTCTTTTCAGAGAAATATATGTTTTTAATAAAAAAGTTATAACAATTTTAATTTTTTAATACTTTAATTAATGTAATTAATTTTTTTGATTTAACACTAAAACAATTTTTTTCTATGCCATTCGATTGATTATTTAAAATAATGAAATATTGCTTACGAATTTTTGTTTTACGATAAAGATAAAAAAATCAAGTTTACTTTGTTGTATAAGTAATTTTTTTCTAGTTCTTACCCTTTTTGAGTTATCTTGAAAACCTCTTTATTTAATCTTTTGTCACCCCTGACCTGAGGTTAAAAAAAAATTACTGTCACTTATTGTTATTATATCCCTCAAACTAACTTATATAAAAAATTCACGCAAGTTGACCAAAATTGCTATTTAAAGGCCCATTTAATTGGATTATAACAAACCGTAACTTATAAGCTAAATCGTTTAGGTTTAGGACACAAGTTCAAATGAAACTTTCCAAAAATAAGTCAAACAGTTTCTGAGATATACAACGTTGTTGTTTTCTCTTTTTTTTAAACGACTGGCGGTTTGAGTGAAGTTTGGGATGGTGGCCATTTTCACCATTCTCTGTGATTGTTCAGGTAAATTTTGATAATCAATAATTCTCAACATACAGCCTCTTAAATTTACGTATTCATAAAAAAAAAATTAGTATTAATGCCCTACACAATAAATAAAATTGTATTTATGACCATATTGAAAGTGAAACAGAAAAAAGATCAAATTAAATAGTTTTTCAAAATATAAATATGTACTTAGTTCAATTAAATAATTAATAGAAAAGTAGTACGTATTATTTCTATTTTATTTAAGATCAATTTTCCATTTCATTTCAAACCTAATTAGATAAGTAAAGATAAAAGCAATTTAAATTCATTTGCAAGCACTTCAAAAGGATTTAAATAAATCTTACGTGTTAGATTTATTAGATTTGTAAATATTTTTATCAAATAACTAAATTTTTGGCCACAAGTAGGTAATTAGAGGAATTAAGCTAATTGAAATAAATTCAATGCGTCTGGTACAGAAAATTGTTTTTGAATTTGGTTGAATTAGATTAACACATTTAAAATAGAGTAAAAAATTGGAGCTAATTTTTTTTTAAATAGGTATTAGAACCGTTTAACAACTAGCAATACAATTATATTTTGATAAAATACTTAAAATATTCGGTAAATATTTCTCCGTTATTTATAGCTTTTGGCTGCAATTTGCAAGTCTTGTTGCCACGATTTCGATTTGCAACTTAAAAAGATCATCAATTTGGTACGGTCCATTTCACATCAAATAAACCGAAAAATTATTAAGCCATTAAAAAACACACCTGGCTGATTAAAAAAATAACCTGTGCTAGTAAAGACATACTGTAACAATATTAAAAACGTGATAAATAGGTAATCATTAGGACTGCGAGAGAGAGCCGCAATTCAATAATGTGCCAAGCGGGTCAACCGAAACATGCGTGAGCAGCTGCTCAGAATGCTTTTCACGTTCACGTCACTTTGGTAGACTGTTGTCTTTGTTATGGTGCGGATGTTGCGTAATTAATTCCTATCCAACAATTTAATTTGTGGCTTTTTAATACATAATGCGTACGCCTATGTCCTGAGGCTAAGTTCTGACAGCCTTAGTAATTATGATCCAATCTGCACTCATTGTCCTTGAATACAGGAAACATATAACAAGTGCGGATTTTAGATATTCTTTCCGGCTTTTAAATGTAACAAATTTTTTCATAAAATAACTAAAAGAAATATTCGCAAGTTCTGTTAAATGAAAATAACAACTTTAAAAGTTCGCAGAAAACTTTAATTTTTGAGTTCTTCCTTACCAATAAAGCCCTTCTTGACCAACTCCAAGGTGAATCGTCGAGTAATCTTCTCCAACTCATGTTCGGAGTACTTCTTGTGGTCGATTTTGACGCCGGCTTTGGCGCCGCCAAAAGGTACGTCTACGCAGGCACACTTGAAGGTCATCAAGGCAGCCAGGGCCTTGACTTCGTCTCTTGAAACGTCCATCGAGAAGCGCATCCCTGAAACGGAAAAACTAACGTTGAATTTAACAATATACCTACTAGTTTTATCACCGTCATCAAATTTGTAGTCAAATCCGCATACAGTTCTTTTTTGACACAGAAATACATTAACATTCTTGTGATAGGGTTGCCAAATTTAGAAAGACTAACAGCGGGAGGCGCATGGATAAAAGAAAAGGTAGAAAAATGCTCCGATTGCAAAAATGTTATATTTTTCAAGGTCGAACGCTTTAAATTAAAAGTTAAGAACTCGATTTGTCAAAAACTTTTTTGAGTTATTGAAAAATTATTAAAGGATACAAATATAATGTAAAATAAATTTATTCTGCCAAAAAAATAAAATATAAATTAGTTTAAAAACACATTTCAAACAAAAAAAAAACATAAAAAACAAATTAAAGAGAAATCTATCTATAATGTGCCTAACAATGGACAAAATAATTAAACACGTTAAAATGATCCCTAAAATTAAAACAAACTAAATTAAAATAATTTATCAAAAAATATTTAACTTTTAATATTTTGTACTTTCAAAATAAACGACTAATTTATTGACTTTGGCACCGAGGTATTTTAAGAGGTCTAGAATAACTTGGTAAGTATGTATTATTAAGTAAATTTCCGGTAAAAAAATGTTAATTAAAAAAGTCGCAGACCCACAATTTGCAATTTTAAAGAAATTATAATTTTCAAATATGCGTATTTTCACTCAACTAATTTTGAACTTCTTTTGTTTTTTATTTATTACGTTAATGGTTTGTACAGCTTATATCGTATACAGTGTGGCACTTTACCAATTAGGATATTTTTGATATAGCCCGGTCAAAATAGACATTTCAAATAACGAAAATTCCGACAGAGCTAAATTTTGGTGGAGGCCTTGGGTACACCATTAGAAATAAAGTGTCAAAAGTCCCCATCGATCCCATGTGTGCTAAAAAAGTTATTCGGGGTCAAAGGTCAAAATTTGAGGTTTTTTGGATTTTTTTCGAAAACGGTAAGTTTTATCAAAAAAGTAGCCCAGTCAAAAATTATAGATCTTAAAATTATCTACAAAAATGGTCCTTATACTTTTTTTTTTGTATCACCATTCCTGAGATATCGCGATTCTAATAGTTGAAGGAGTCGCGTTCTACATGATATGCACACATTTCCACACTACCTGTGAGGAAGTGTACTTTGACACGTTTTTTTTAACGTGGTTTCCCCGGTAGGCCTACTCCACGAACTGTTATGACGGAATTTTCAGGGACAATACTCTTTTAACTGTACAATGATTATTGATATTGATATTGGTTATTGACTTTAACTGTAGTTCTGATTTCTTTTGATATTTTAATCTGATTCATACTCTTCAAAGTCGACTTCAACAGTCATGTGTTCTTCGATTTCTTCTGCTTCTTCTTCCTCTTCTTCTTGCTGAATGTTCATAAATTGTTCAAATGAAGATGAATCAGCTGTCTCTTCATCGAAATCACATGAATCTTCGTCTGTTGTATTCAATTGGACATTTGAGCAAGACTGGCTTTGGCAATTAGTACACGCTGGAAAACACAGTAACTCTACTCTTCTACAGCCACATTTAGCACTACAACCTTTTTTGCAATTGCAAAAAATAGTGTTTAGGAGTTTTTCCAGAGCAGGTGGAAGTAAAGTTTGAATCGGTTCCAAAGTATTATCTGTTAATTTCCCACCCCAGTCTTCTGGATTCAGTTGATTGCCTAGTCATGTCCGAACTTGATAGTATACTCGATACAACTGTTAATTAGCAGAAGCCGATGTTGGAGGAAGACAAGTTATACTTGTTTCTTGTTTCGTGTATTTTTTGCAGAAGTTAAATATCTATATTTATCTATACAATCAATTTTTTTTGGAGCTCCTTAACAACAAGGAGAAAGCGAATTCCTTTTGTGATTATTGTTTGAGGTGAAGAATCAATTTCTGCAATCAATAAAATCTTTTTTTCCAAATAATTTTAATACTGATGTTTTACCCCTTCTGAACATTGCTGATGTAGTATCGCAGCCGGTTATTAAGATATGGTTTTGGCATTTTGAATAAGCAGATAAACTTTTTGAAGAATATATTTCTGTTCGCTGTTGAGCCTTTCCAGGTTTTAAAAAGTATATAATTTTATCAATTGGAGTCCTTGCAGTGAGTAGTATTAATAAGTCAACATCTTCACCAACTACAATAGTTGTATTTGTTGCATTAAATTGTTCTATTGCTGTTTCAATTATAAGGACATCTGCGTCATTTTGACTAAGGGACTGAGTTTCTTTTGAGTGTATATTCTCAGAATAGTATAGTTTATACATACAACAGACACAAATAGGCATTTTTATTTGCATTAAGTGCCTGACTATGTATATACTTGGCATATATGTGCAAGTGCATATCATGTAGAACGTGACTCCTTCAACTTTTAGAATCGCGTGGTTCTTAGAAAAAAAAGTACCATAGTAAGTAAGTAAGCAAGTAAGTAAGGACCATTTTTGTAGATAATTTTCAAATCTATAATTTTAGTCTGAGCTACTTTTTTGATAAAACTTACCGTTTCCGAAAAAAAATTCAAAAAACCTCAAATTTTGACCTTTGACCCCGAATAACTTTTTTAGCACACATGGGATCGGTGGGGACTTTTGACACTTTATTTCTAATGGTGTACCCAAGGCCTCCACCAAAATTTAGCTCTGTCGGAATTTTCGTTATTTGACCACTATTTTTATGACTAATTTGACCGGACTAAAATGTACGATTTATTTTTACACGTAATAGCCTTCTAGATATAATTGCTGTGTCCATTAAGATCAAGTTGATAGGGATATTGACGCCACTGGTTTGACCTGAGACTTAATTTTTTAAGTTAAATTCATTTATTCAAAGATATAACTTTGTTTAACTCCTCAAATATTTATCAATGAAAATATTTCATAAATTTGGTGAAGGAAAGCAGTCCTTCATTTTTGATACGTTCTATTGTGACATATTTTATTTAGTACCCGAAGCAAAGGAAAAAAATAACAGTACGTTAACGCTTAAACAATAATCAGCGTGGAGATAAACACGCCGTTATCATTAATTCCGTATCATTATCAGCGAACCAATTATTATGAAACAAAAAATAATCGAATTCTGGATTTTACGACTGCTGCATTTTAATTGCATCATCAAAGTTGCAAACTGCTAAGAAATTATTTTTAAGGTAGGTGATTGACGCTAGGTAGAAAATACCTATTAAAATCACCCAATGTCATCGATTTTTAAAGAGTTAGTATAGTCTTTCCGATATCAATTGAAAAACCAAGAGGATGATGATGTACCAGGTTCGGTCGCTAACGCAGCAACTCGGCATTGAAATATTTGAAAAACTTGTTCCCATATTTATTCAGCCCTACCCATATACAGGTCTGGTCAAACTAAACGTGAAGGTGATAGAAATGCCCAGTTGAAGAATGCGAGCGCGGGCAAACGAAATACAAATACAGTTGCATTGGGCCACTGGGCAATAAATCTCAGCCGTTGACAAGGATGCCTTGGTATAGACATTAAACTTTCTACACACTGACGTGTTTACCATGTAGCTAAGGAATCCCATACGATATCAATTTCTTTTCTCCATTTATATTTTTGCCGGTAATAACTATTAATTCATTTAATTTAGTTTAGGAAATGTCCTCCGCCAATGTACGGTCCAGTAATTATTACAATAAGCATATGGAACTAGAGAAACAGCAATCCACTTTACTTCGAGCTCCCCGGAGTATGTGCCTTTTGAAATAACGTAATACAGAGATAACATCAGTTTATCAAGGTGGCCATATTCCCGGCCGAGAAATAGTGAAATTTCTGGCGTTTTTAGGTACTGAAATCTTTGAAAGTAAAACGTGTAGAACAAAAGTAAGCACAAAAATAAAATCCTTGATGTTTTGTTTATTCATTGTTACCATTTAAATTTACTCAAATAAAATAATAACTAAAAAAAAAGCGTTTGTAAAACATGCGTTTGCTGTTATTCTAACCCCACATTTTAAGAATTATTTTCACGTACTTATAAATAAAAGTAAACAATTTTATATGTAGGACTAAGCAAGTAAATGTTATAAGAATATTTACATGTGGAATTATATATAAAAAAGTTAGTATTTTCGAAGATTTCAGTACCTAAAACCTTGATGGTTTGATCGTTTTTTGCACCTGTTTATTCGTTTTACTGCGGCGTCTTTGAAAATAACCAGATGGCATGACATAACATTCCTATTATTTGATTAGCTTTAGATTATTCAGTTATTAAATGTTTGAAATTATTTGTCTTTGCGGAAAACACTATTTAAAGAATATGGGGCCCTTAAATGGTGGTTAAAAAAGCTTGTTGAAAATTTTAATGTTAAATTTTGCGTCTGTGTCGTTTGCACATACTGTTCAAAAACTTATCAGGAATTAGATTAAATCCAAAAATACTTCCTTAAATCGGAAAACAGCTATTAGTGATTCATCTGATCTCTGACTAAACTCTATGGTGGCCCCTTTTTCAAAAATATAAAAAATAAAAATAAAAGAAAATAATATAAATATATCAATAAAAACGTAATCAGCGACCGAAATAGAATTTCATAATCTTTTGGTTTGATTCTAATACTTCTCAATATAAGAATAAAACTTTTTGACCAGCTTCTCTCTAGGCAAGCAAGAAGTCGATAAAATGTAATACTCTTCGATGTACTTACGCACTTTGTATTTCCTTTTATTAAACAGGAGTTTTAAATGTCAAGATATATGTATGTATCCTGAACGGAGTCGGGTATAATCTGTAGTATTATATTAGAATTGTATAATTTCCTCATTCCTATGACAATATAAATGCAAATAATCAAAGTACAAGAAACATCTGATACACGGCAGCAAGGATTGCTTGATAATATGATAATTAAGCGTTCGTAGCCTTCATCTGTTCCAAATGATCTAACATCTGCCAACTAGTACTAAGTGTACGTACC